ATCATTATTCGAGTATGATTTTATCATTATTAGAGTATGATTTTATCATTATTAGAGTATAATTTGTATCTAATTCTCACAGAAGCTCCATCCGCATTGATTTCAAGTCTGGAGACTAAGCTTTCAAGATTCGTCGGTCCGTTGTCCAATCGATTACAAAACTCAGTTTCGGGGCTCACCAGCAAGTGGAGTGGCCTTTCCGATGATGACCGTGTGGGAATYGCAGGAACACTTGGTGTTATTACAAGCAATATTGAAAAGTTTGGTAAAGCTGGCGAGGATCCCGTGGGGGCACTTCAAGCAACAATCGACATTATTGCATCAATTGCCAGTAATTTAGGACCAAAAGGACAACTCATCAGCATGGGYCTAGGTTTCGTTTCGGCTTTGATGGGGTTATTTGGCAAAGGTACTCCAAAACCAAAACCAATGTCTCAAGTCGTTCGAGAACAGATAGATGCAGCTCTCGAGAAGTATCAGGACCAGGATCTCACTTCAAAAGCGCAAGGGTTAATTACAGCATTGTCTCAGTCTAAAGCGTACTTAGATGGAGCYGCASARTCGGGTAATCCCTTGACTGAYCTTGARATGWCTTTATCCGCAAGTCGAGTTCCAATAACGCAAGGAGCAGAATTCATGGGGCAGCTTGCYAGTGTAATACTTACAATGCAAACAAGYAACGTTGCTTCTGATGCCAAAAAATGTATCAAATACTGTGAGCTTTACGCAACCATGACGACCATCCGAGACATGATCTTAACGCAATTCATTTCCATGTCATCCAACTCCGAAAATGTACAAAATGATGTGAATGGACTTATWGGCTATCGACAGAATTTCCGGGATGGAGCAAGAGTTTTATTTGAAAAGCTCCTCACGATTGATTATTCCAGTAATATAATGCCGTACTTTGAYCCMGATGTGAGCACCTTAACCGACAAATATTCAACTGCTTTGTTAAATATAGGAAAGTACGACCGTTCGARGTCTGGCATGTACTGCATCTTTGGACATACATCAGGAACAACTCTTGTTTGGGAAAACACGAAAAACGATTTAAAAATCAGCGGCAAACCGTACACCAAATATGGGAAACGAGAAAAAGCTAATTGCATTTGGAAGCTTGTTCCCAAAGGAAACAACATATACAGTATCGTCAACAAGAAGRACTGTGAAAAGAAAGACCCTTACTGTGATGCGMTGCTGTCCTGGGGAACAGTTAAAGAGAAGCCGTATGTCAGTATTGAYCATGAAAACCCYGTGYTATGGGAAATCCAGGGTTCTCAATGGGTAAAGTAAGTACAGAATGTATTGCTGYAATACCTCGCATAAAAGAACGAGTGYATTTAAAAACACCTACTCTGATTTAAGACATTTTGGGTATCATGCAAATGAGAATACACTCAGCCTAAAAAATCAAAAAAAAAATTAAAAATAGGAAAAACAAAATTTATGTGCCAAACCTGCATAAAAAAAAACACAAATACCGCGGAGCATGATTTTTCATTGAGAACTCCCCGTCGGTTCCGCGGTGACTGAAACAGAAAACAAGACCACAGTGTAGTAGAAGCAGATGTTTGTAGTGACTCTTTCAACTTCAATGTATATTTTGCCCATTTCCAGCCGGAAAAGAATCATATTATTCAATTACAATGTTTGTTCTCGGTACTGAAATATAACAGTAGATTGCAGTGAATATTGAGAGCATGTGTGTTTGAGACCATTCCTTACCCACTACGGTAAGAGACTAAATTTAATACATATAAATTGTATAGCAAAATTGACAAGATACAAGAAATTGATAAAATTGATAAGATCCAAGATTAAAAACAGGTATATTCTTTGAAGCATCCGAAGCAAGAAGGGCTGCCCTTCCAATAAGTGGTGCGGCAAGGATCTAARAGTCATGAGAAGAACCATACAATTCCAAGTTATAAGGCCACCGAAACTGATAAAGCAACATTACGATGTTGGTCAGCTAGCTCAGCCAGATGGAAAAAACTACTGGCTTCTCCAAAAGGTACTAGTGTAGTAAGTTGGCTAGTTAATAATTTTGATGCAAGTTAAACTTTCATCTTAATCTTGTSTTGGTTTGGTTATTCATTTGACGTCTTTCACGATCAAGCAACGATGGTGCATCAAAGCTATTACCCAGTCATTTTTCTGAGTGAGTGATCATTTGTCTGTGTGAGTGATGATATACAATATGAGGGGGRTGGGCGAGGGAGGAATGATTAGAAATAGTAAGAGAAATTGTAAGAGAGATTATTAGAGTATCTAAATAAGAGATAGAAATACAAATAAAAAATKATATACATAAGAAATAGATGAATAAACAGACAAATAAAAGAAAGAAAATAATAATAATGATAAAATAGAAGAATTTAAAACGGATAAAAATGGTAAAAAAGCGAAATTAACATGACGTACGTGGGACGAGCTCGATAAAATGCCGCGTGATGATCTCGTAGGGGAGGAAGGAGTGGATAATGGTATACTGGGGARGGCAAGGGAGACCAAATGCACTGTCTACCGTGTACCGTACCGTACCGTACGAGAGATATGGGCGTAATATGAGGGAAGAGTTCTTACTTGTTACCCGTAGTGTATGCTAAATACTGATTTTCTAATAGGTTTTTGTAGATTCTTCCATACTAATCTTGTGCTGGTTAAAAACTATGTGAGGAATGGGGAGTACCCGGATATTGTAATGCTTGTTGGGAACATATCAGGTGACACCAAGAGTGTCTTGATGCGGTGGGCTTCCTGTGGAACCAATCACGTGATGGATATATAAGGGGATGTGTGAGAGGGGTAGGTTAGAAAGCGTGTAGGCAACACACTACTTTTGTGAAAGGAATAATTTTGTAGAGAAGTGGGATACGAACGTGTTGAGACAATGGTATGTGGATATGAGATGGTAGTGGAGGATGTGGGGGAAAGAAGTCGGTCTAAACAGGCCTAGGTTTAAACAGGTATCGTTCAAACGCTCATAGAGGGGAGGGAGTGTTTTTGATAGTATGAGGGTGATTKGAATGCTTGTACGGGTTGTTTGGGAAGGGGATGTGGCTGGTAGGGATAGACATGGGTGTGGTTGGTGTGTGTACCAAATGGGGAGGGGAGGTAGACGTGYGTAGTTTGAGTATGTGTAAACGGGGACGAGTGGAAGGAAGAGCGTGAACACGGGGTGCTTAAAAAATTGGGGATATAAGGCGAGTTGAAAATATGTGAGTCAGTGAAACAGGTATTCGTACCAACGCTCTAGGAATGGGAGTCGGTCCACTGCGTGTCAAATGCTCGATTATTTTATTATCGAAAAAAAAATAAAAAAAAAGGACATGGAGTAATGAGAAAATCATATAAAATGTCTTTCTTCGAAAAAAAAAACAGTCGCCTTAGGTGACCTTATTTCCATTCATGTAAGTGTMTGTTTTTAGACTTTTCTTCAGTCATCTGTGAATTACTTT